TTAAAAATAGGTTTCTTATTTCTTTATTTAAGTCTTTAAAATTTGCTATTAAGGTAAAAGTTTAGTAAATTAGATTTAAACCTTAGGATAGTAACATTTATTAGATGATATTTTAGAAAGAAGGGGATAAAAAAAATTAAAATTTAATATAAAGAACCTGATCAGGTATATATTAAAAAAGAGAAGGGTACCCTTTTAATAAAAAAAAATTAGGTAATAAATAACATGACTCTTACTTTAATATCAAAAAAATATATATATATATAAATAAGATTTCAAAAAGTTGTTCAAAAGAGTAAATTTTGTGTAATGTAGTAACTATTACTTTTGTCTATAATCTGTGTTTTATTGGTAAAGTAAAAGAAGAATATTTAATATTTCTTCTAAAATAAGTTTAGATAATTCAAATAGCTTTGCTAAGTATAATGTAAAAGCATTGTTTAGTGCTTTTTAAATTGCCTCTGTGTCTATTGCAGTTTTGTCTTTTGTAAACTCTTTGTAATATTTCAATACTTTTGTTATATGTTTAGGAGGTTAAGTTTTGAAGTTTAGGTTTGTTTTGTAATTTATAATTAACTTTTGTCTTAGTTTCAAGTAGATTAAGTTTTAGGTATCCCTATTGGTAATGGTTATTGCATTTATAGATTTGTAGTTTTTTAGTGCATTTGTAAACATTTGATTATATTTGGTTTGATGTAGTAGTATAAATTATTTGGCATATATAAAGGTTGTAAAAAAGGTTGAATTAATATGTCTAAATTTTGCTTTAGTTGTGAAAGAGATTGGTCTCTTAGTTGGCTTTGTTTATAATTTATATATTTGCATTTTTTTTGGTCTATATGCTTCAATTACACTGTCATATTTTTATTTTTTGCAGTTAAATAATTAGTTTCCAAACTGTTATTTACTTGTTGTATTTATGTTTCTGTATAGTTAGTTTTTATTTCTGTTCTATCACTTATATTTAAATTCTTTTGAACTATTTGACTATATGTAAGTTTATTATTTGTATTTAGTATAAAGAATTGTTTGTTTGTTTTATTTTTGTATCTATTTAATTGTTTTGCTCTAATTTTATTTTTTGGTTACTATTTGCTATTGCTTCATAAGAGTTTTGCATTTCAGTAAATATGGGTTTTATATTGTGTTAGTCAATTGTTTTTATATCTGATGTCTAATTTTACAATAAGATTGTTTGAGTTTCTTTTATAGCTATATGCATTTGTGTGTTTATGTATAATAATAATAGTATTGTTTTTTTTTCTTATAATATTTGTTGTATTGTTGTTGTTATTAGTTTGTATTACATTATTGTTTTGTTGATTGACTTGTAATAATGTCATTGTTTGTTTTGTAAAAAGTATGCCATATTGTCTACTTTTGTTACTAGCTAAGATTTAAAAAAAGATAGTATATCTTTTTTTGTTATAAGCATCTTTGTAAATAGCATTTAGATTGATACAATATTGTTATTGTCTAGTAGAATATTTATAATTATTGCTCATTATGCCTAGTGTTTTAATCTTGTTACTTTGCATTACTATTGCCTAGTTAGCATTAGCTTGCCTTTTTTAATAAAAGTATTGAATTTTCTTTTTTTATTTTTGTCTTGTATTGTTAAAGCTGTTGTATTCTTGTTTTGTATATTATATAGGTAGATTTTTTGCTTAGAGTAAGCTTTTTTATTTAGGGTTTCTTCTATAGTAATAATTATTTTATCTATTTTTTTGTTTTTTGCTTTTGTTGATTTTTACATTTTAGAATTTGCAAGAGAGTTTTTTGTTATAAAAATTGTTTGAGTTAGAGTTTGATGCTTTTGTATTTAAAGTTCAATTTTTTTTTACTAATTAAAGTTTTTTTTATTAATTAAGTTTTATTTCAAGTTAATATGTATTAAATTTAATAAAAATTTATAAACTTTTATATTGATTTTGTAAAAAATTATATGCATATTTAACTGCATCAAATTAGACATGCCTAATTTATATTATAAAGGTTTTCTAAATTAGCTCAAAAAATTCTAAAATAATCCAATATTATTAAATTTAATTAGTTAATGTACATAAGCTTATAAGTTAATTTAATAATAAATTTTTATTTTTATCTTTAAGGATAGAATATACTATATTAAAATTATATATAAACTTAATTGTAAATTTATTTATTATTTAATTTTATTAAAAATTATACTAAGTAAACTAAGATTAATTTATAAAAAAAGTTTGTAGAACAGGTCTTTTTGATTTTAATAATAGTAAAATTATTAAATTTGATTAAAAACTTAGTAAAATATAATTTTTTAAAGATTAGATATAAAAATTATTAATTAAATTACCTTATAAAGTTATGTAAATTAATCAATTAAGAAGTATAATGACCTAGTAAAGTAGTTAGATTATCAATTCCCAAGTAGCAAATCTAGAGTTATAATCTTAGTAATAACAAAAATTTGCAATTTTTTTTGTATTACAATTAACTGTTTTTTATAATTGATTAGAATTAGATATTTATAATATATATTATATTAGCATAACTGAAAGATTTAGATATTCATATAATGTTATACAAAGAAACACAAACTAGTACTAGGTGGTATAAACCTATAATAAGTTCTTAGACCATGTAAATTACAGAAACTAGATAGAAAAACAGAAGCCTACTTGGAAAACCTGAATAGAAAGATAGTCTAAACTTTTAATGATGCTACTGTAAAGACTAAAACTATAAAACAGAGCTAAAACTTGTTAAGCTAGGCAAAGAGCTGGCCTTTAAGAAGGGCCAAATAAAACCAATCAGGTTGCCAGAATTTATTTTTAAAAAAAAATTATATGCTAAAGAATATATAAACCAAAGATATATAGTTACAATCTATCTTTTTGAACTACTTGGTTTAAAAGAGATATAACAAATAAGAGGATATGACAAATAAGAGATTGTCTTCAAATTGTCTAATATATGCAAAGCTTTTTTATCTTTTAAATTTAAAATTACTCTTTATTAACACTTTGCAAGAATGCTTTAAATTATATTTTAAAGCAGCTTAATAGAACTTGAATTGAATATTAAAGTAGTAGAAATATGTTATAAAGTCAGTATTAGAATTAGAGTAAACTCTACAAAGCCATAGCAGTTTAATAATACTTCTTGACTGCAAGTATTGGTTTTAACTATAGCAATACTAGATCAGCTATAAAAATAGGATACAGAAGATTTTAAAAGATTTAGTACAAAGTTAAAGGTTCTTTATATAAGTGAACTGCTTTAAAAACTTAGTAGACATAACATATTTTTACTAACATTAATCAAAATTATTGGTAGGCAGAGATAAATAAGTGAATATGAGAATTAGAATATTTAAATAAGAAATCTACAAGCAGGTTTTAGGTATGACAGCTAGTGTAGAACTTTTGGGTAGATTACTTAAATTAGATAATGACTAAAGTTATATAAGTGATTAGTTGTATATTTTTTTAATAATTGCTTTTTGTAGTTATAATGCAACTATTAGCCAAATATATTATTAATAAAATTCTGGATTATAAGTACTCATTTTAATATTTAAAAAAAAATTAATCAATCAAATTTAGCAAATTTAGCAATCTTGTGCTACTTTAGAAAATTTTAAACTGAATCAGAAAAATTTTGTAATATATACAAGTATATATTTTTTAAATATAATAATAGTTCAAAATTTTGCCATAATAGATAAATTATTTTATTTATATATTGTAAAATTTTAATACAAATTAGTTGTAATTTAAACAAGTTTTATTGGTAGCAAATGTTGATTTTATATAAAAATTCTAAAAAACTTATAAAACTATATAAAAAATGATCTATGTATCTTCTATTCTTAAAAGGTTATATATTACTGAGTTTTTAATTAAATTTAATAATTTTTACTATTATTATAATCAAAAAAACCTGGTTTACAATTTTTTTTTATAAATTAATATTAGTTTACTTAGTATAATTTATTATAAAATCAAATATAAAAAAATTTATTATTAAGTTTATATATAATTTTAATATAATTCTTAAAATCTGTTTTATTACTAAAGTTATTGTTATTATATTTTTTAGAATTTTATTTCTGTTTAGAAGAATGTAAATTGTCTTTGCTTTTTTGTTTTTATGCCTTTTTAGTAACAATATCTTTGAAGCTTCTTTTGCTAAACTTATTAGTTTATTTGTATATTTTTTTATTTTTTATTTTATTTGTAATCTTCTTATTTTTAAATTATATATATCAAGTTGTTATTTCTAATTGGTAAAGACAAAGCTTTTTCTTTTTTCAAGAAAACAGATTTAATTATTACTAACTAAACTCTTGAATCTTGTTTTCTTAATTTTAACTATTTCTGTATTTTTTATATTTCTGTACATATATTTGACGTTTTTTTATTTTATATTTGCTAGTAAATTCCAAATTGTTAAAAATTTGTTACTTTTTTTCTATTTTTTTTTCTTTTTTTCTTATATGTTTCAAAAGACTTTTTTTTCTTATTTAGTTTTTTTATAAAACTATTGTTTTTATCTAGCATATAGTCTTCTTCTTTTTTATTAATAATTTATATATTAATAAACAATCAATGTCTGTTTATTTTAACAAACTGATTATTACGTTAAATTTAAAATTTGCGAATTTTAGAATTCAACACATTAAAAAATAGCATGGAATAAAATTAGATCCATATTATCAGGATTAATTAACAGCCCAAATCTATCAAATACTTAAAAGAATTTTTTGACATTAATGCTTCTTACCATATAATTCACGTAATAAGGTCTTAGAATTTTCGTATTAAATTGAAATATATATATATTTTTTTAAAAAACATCATTTTTTACAAGATTTCAGTGACTTTGAATATTCTATAATTCAAACAACAAAAGTCTCCACCAATCTAAAATATTAATACAATTTCGTTTTTTATGTGAATTGTGTTAAAATGTTTTCTTTTTTAAAAAAAAAAAAAAAATCTAGGATTGTTCTGAGATTATTTTCCTGATTTTGAAGGTTTATGAGCAATAGCTTTAGGTTTATTATTAGAGAATATAAATTTAAACAGAATTTCGATAAGCCACGCGCCGAGAAAGTCAAAAAGCATAGTAGCAGTAAGATGATATTTGAACTATTGGAAAGGAAATCAAAGAGGAACTTAATACTCAAACTCTCAATTTATGTAGGGAAAGCTCTAGATAAGAACAATCGAGAAATAAATACCTCAGATTTAAGAGGAACCAATTGTAACATAGAATTCATATCAGGAACTTTAGATTTAAAAATTTTATTTTAATTTTAAATTGTTTAAAAAACAAGTAAATAACAAAAATTAGAAAGCTCTTACCAACTTCGGTGGCACCAGATAAGGCAATTGCACCTACAGATAGCAAGCCATAATACAATGCAGTATTTTCTTTCAGACTTTCTCTGAAAGGGTGTCCCTAGTTATTTTGAATGTAATATGATTACAGTTCATATGTAAGCATAATAATAACCACACGTCATTAACTATTTAAGTGGATGACCAATATACCTGATAATTAATGGCGAAAGTGGAGACTTGCATAGATAACGAGATTAAATATATCGCTGTGTTTAATAGACTTGGTTCAAAATCTCCTTCAAGGTCGACAATTTTCTTCCTATATAATAAAATCAAAGCTCTGTAATCATATACAAAAATTAGTAGAACCATTTAAAATAATTATTTATACATACTCTTCATAATGAAATACTAAATCTACTATGTAAACAAGAGACGCTATGTGTATAGCGAATTGACCAAGAATGGATAGAATAATATAAAAATTGAAAATGTTTGTTTGTGGTCGTTGCTTGGCAAGCTTTTCTAATGGCTAAAAAAATTGTCATAATAAGTAAAAAAACGTAAAAATCATGATATGTGTTTAAATACTTTAGAAAAAGATATATATATGTACATAAATAAATAAGTTACCTTAGCTTTTGAAATACAAAGGAAACAAACGGCAAGTAACATGCCAGAAATAGTAACTTGTCTAAAAATATCGAGATCGAAATAAATATTTAAGTCCTTAAACCAAAATACTTAACAAAATGATTTGAATTGCGTGGTATTAACTTACAAATCACCGTATTTAATTCCTTCCAAATATAACACGCTCAGACTGTATGCAGAAATTAAACAATTTAAAGCCAAAATTTTGTACATCTGAATAGTGGCAACCAATGTACATCGACCCTGACGGACAATATTTACAACTATCAGAAAAAAAGTGTTAACAGATGGCTAGTGCATTTCCAATCATAAGAATCACAAACATATTTGAAAACCCTTACTTGCTACTACATTTGAAAGTTTGGATGTAAAAGGCGCTGCTACTGATGCATCTCCTAACTTAATGGACGGTGGTTCATCATCGAAATCTTGTAAAAGTTGTTCCGCGAGTCGATCCATCTTTAGTTAAACAATAAAATTAAATTTATTTGCAAATTAAAAATAACCTTCAAAATAGAAGACACCAAACCTGAGGAGGAGGTCGTCTTTGACCTTGTCCCGCATTATTTTGTTGTTGGAGTTGTTGCGTAATATGTGGGAATAAATGTGCAATTGCTGGTGGTGGGGGTGGAGGTGGCATGTTAAATCGCGAAGTAAATTTTAATTGACTTTCATATACATCTTTAAGTCTCTGAATTCGTTGGTGTTCAGCAATTTTCTTAAGATCCTCAGGTTTGCCGTCAAGAAGCGCAACGCCGATATGAGCTTGCTTAAGAGCACCAACATCATTTGTCCCATCACCACACATCAATGTAATATATCCAGCTTGCTTAAGGCAAGTCAATATGAATTCCTAACATAATATACTACGTCATAAAGATATTACTTATAAATATTAAGATAGCAGTTTATTAGATATACCTTTTGTCCGGGAGAAACACGTGCATACACCCACGTATGGACTAATAGATCTTTTACAGAGGGCTTGTTTTCATAACATGCCAGTGCTGCACCCGTTATACATAGGTCGTGGTCACGATAAATCGATAGATCAATTGGTTCTGCAGGGTTGACAGGTATAATGACTTTCTCATCAACTGATTTCCAAACAAGATCTGTAGGCAATAATCATTAGTAAAATGATAGTAAAAAATAAAATATGATGCGTCGTAAATTAAGATACCATCATTATTCTGGGCATCTTCGCGAAGATCAAGAATTAATACATCGCGTTCAAGAATTTTCACTTCGCGTGCTACATGACATGCTGTTAAAGGATTATCTCCGGTGATCATCACGACCTATATATATATTTTTTTAAACAAAAATCATTGCCGCTTAATTGAAATCCAAAAGAATATACAATATAATAAGTATAATATACCCTATGAGAAGACTCATTTAACATCTGAAGAGTAGATATGGCATCATCTTTGAGCGGACAATGAAAAATAAGAAATCCTGCAAACGTTAGTTCACTTTCAACAGACTCTCGCGACAATTCATTAATCTATTGAAAATCGATTGTTATAAACGATAATAATTAGTAATTATAAATTAAAAGTTTTAACATTTGAGATTATACCTCATCCATATTCATATTATCTTTTAAATATTTGTATCCTAGTGCCAAAACTCGACTTCCTCTACGCATAAAAAACTTGAATGTTTCCTCGTAGTCGTCGGGAACATAAACGTACATATTACGCAATGTCTCGGGTGCACCTTTAACTGCAACAAAAGTTTTTTTAAATCGGGATGTTGGAATTGTTGAGACACTTGACATACGCTTAAGTGCAGATGAAAATTGAAATCTGCGACGAATTTGTATTTGTGACCGTTGTTGAAAACGTTGTGATTGTTGATTCGCAGGAATGACAGTATCGCCTTTGAGCGTTAAAACAAAGATTAACCTTAACGAAATCATAACCATATAAAAAAAGATAAATAAACATATAAAACGTACAAACCTTTGCCAAGTTTCCAATCTAGCGCTTCCAGTGTGGCCTTTTCCATAGGGTCGCCGACAATGCCATCATCTAATTTGACTAAGGCATGTGCTGCAGCCAAGGTTTGAATCGATTCCCGTAAAGCTTCTGGTGGTTTTACCAAAATCTTTGAATCTTCGGGGCTTCACATTATAATCACAAATTGACATAAAATTTGTTGGAAACGTTGAAAAATATGCTTAAATAAAACTATCAAGTAACTTACTGTATTCCAGCAATTCCTTCGACTTCAAGATTTTCACCAGTTAAGGTGCCAGTTTTATCGAAAGCACAAACATCAATTTTTCCGGCAAAAGGAATCCTGAATGGTTCAGTGCAATAAATAGCTAAATATTTATGTGTCATGTCAAAATTAAATGTATCTTTTGGTTTTTTTTTTTTTGCGATAATCTTTCTAAAGACTTTGTGTCTCACCAAATTTAGCCAATGCGACCAACGAGGTGTTAACTGCCAAAGAAAGTTCCATTGGCAATTCCGGCGGTACAACTGATGTAATGATTAAAATACAATCGAGCAAGAGCTTTGACCTTTTACGGTCATGTTCAATACCTATTAATGTATATTATTAACGGTTAATCATAAGCTAATTTTTTCCAAGTAAGTAAGCGTTCATCACGATAATGAAAATTGCTCGCCTTTAACCCAAACGTATGCGGCCGCGGAAATTGCGAAAATCAATAAGAATAAGATAAACAAGAAGGATTCTAAATTGTTTGCTGACACATGCTCAGTACTATACACCATTGTACGCACGAGTTTCCCCTGAGCAGTTCCAAATCCGGTGCGAATAACATAAGCAATACATCCATCGTCCGGAGCTAAGAAATTGTAATCATTAAATCATATTAATTTTATATTTTATTAGGATAGAATAGTTTCAAGCTTACCAGAAAGAACATCTTGTTGAGGAGGAGTTACTTGTAGGACTTTTGTGCCTCCAAACAACATGCTGTTTTTGTCAATGCCGTTCATATCAAGTTCGTCATTTCCATCACGGAGAGCAATCGATTCCTAAATTATATTTACGTTCATTTACATGGACATCAGAAAGAATATATCATTAAACAATACAAATTATTATCTGCTTAAATTACATATTAGCATTAATAATTTGCTGATGCATTTACAATATATCTTCATTATATATAATTACTGTTCATGTATAGATTGAAATTGTAATAAAAGGTTTTGTTAAACAAACCTTCAATAGCGGCGTCGATTCACCGGACAACATCGCCTCATTCACAATACAAGAACCTTGTAAAAGTATCATATCACAAGGAACGCCACTATCCTCCTTGGAACGAACTTTACAGATAAATTTGGAAGTATATGAGAAATAATGATCAAAAGGACAATATAAAGTAATTCTGATACTATATACCGATAGACACTAAATCCCCCGGTAAAAGTTGGTCAGAATCGGTAGGAGTCCAGCGGCGATTTCGTCTAACATGGATCTGGTATGGCTTAATCGACATGGTACGAAACTCGGCCAAAGTTTTCAATCTCTAAAAAAAAATAATGATCATTTTAGACATGTTTCATTAATATCTGCAGAACAAATCAAGTCAATAAATAAGCTTAATTGATATAATACCTGAAAGACGACAGTAGATTCGAATACTACAAGCATTAATAGTGTAAATACCGAATAGTACCAATATTCATCCATAACCCACAATCCAACACAAAATAATTGAAAGACAAAGAATGGCGCAACGGCATGTTCTTTGAATAACTCTGGAAAGGTTGGCACCGGAATATCGAATCTAAAAATTAAGAGACTTAGTTATATAGTAATTCTAATGAATATTGGCGAAATGACAATCCGCACCTATTATATCCATATTTCTCGTGAGTTAACTTAATTTCATTCTGAGTTTCAAGACCTTTAGTATTTTGAAATGTTGATAGTTTAGAGTATATGTCACATGGATAAAGTAGCTTTTTAAATTTCTTTTTATCTTCATCCCACAAATATTTCTTCTTTTGATAAAAAAACGATATCTCCCCGTTCTAAATAAAAATACCCAACGTTAATATTTATTCATAATATAATACATTAATGCGATATTTAATTAAACATACTTTTCCATGGTGTAGCTCACATAGTTCACCTTTTCCTTTATGTTGGACAGGAATTATTTTGATGACTTTAGCTTTCCTAACATCATTTTGCTTGGAAAATAGTTGCATGCCATTTTAAATCTGAAATTTATTAATAAATACCAAATGGATAAAATCGAAATAATATCCTACTTTTTTGCAAGTAAAAAAAGCTTTTGCCCTAACACTCCATTGACAGCTCAAAAATATTAACGCATTTGTCGTGATTAAGCTTCCGAGTGTTAAGAATGTCCATTCTTCAGACACGATAAATTCATCGTATGCATATATATATATATATGACCATGCAATATAAAGACAAACAAAGGGCCATACATAAAAATGCCACACTAGTGGTCTTCGTATGTGTAATGAAGATTTTCTTATTGACTTCGCATCTACAATGTTAACAGGCGCCCTGTACAACAGTGAGTAATTTTACAACGTTTAAGCAAAAGAAAAAAAAAACATTGAAATATAAAATGTGCTTACATCGTGTGTATTTAGATTTGACTTCAATAACCAGAAGAGTAAATAGATATATAAATTAAAAAAGCGTTAGTAAGAGTGTGGTAGGCTTTCTCGATTTGTATAAAAGCCTTCTCGACAAAATAGCAGCTTTCTTGATCCCAAGCATTTAGATTCATACACAGTGCTGAACGGAGATCGCCGTGACACTGGGGGACGCGCTTGATTCCGTTTATTAATAAAGCCATGGTAAACGCCACGAAATGAACCTTTCATATATTAAAAACGTTAGACTTACTAAATTTTTTTTTTATCAATGTTTAATAGTTCTCTTTGTTGAATTCACCACTGTGTTAAGAGGATCGAATGTTTTTTCCTAATTTTTACGTTTCACATGCATTTTTCAAATTAAAATTGCCTATTGGCCAGATTTAAATTGGAAATAGCATACACAACAACTCTAAAATCACCAGCCTAAAACAGTTTCGCTGGCCAATCAAATTTCGAGATCAGGTGTAACGTGAAAAAAGTTCAAGAATCTGCCTTCTGTGTATTAGCAAAAAGTTCACCTTGCAAAATTTTGGTATAACTATAGCCTACTAAGTCTAACATACTTACAATATCCTAACCCTAACCTAATAGCGAAATGTTTTTTCTTAGCCATAATTACACAGTATTGTAGTCTTCCTCCTCTATAATCACGCAGTCCGTATCATGCAAATTGTGATTGTATAAAGGTTTTTACTATCGCTATTAGTAAAGTGTTGCGATTATAAAAAGGGTTTTAATATGATGTGATTATAGAGAAGGTGACTATTTAGGAGGAAGACAGTATATAATAAAATTTTGGTATAATCATTTCACTATCGTTATAAAATTTGGGTAATGGTTTACAAAGGAAATTGCATTCATGAAATGTAAATTGGTATGGTTAAAAATTGGATAATACTTTGTAAAGCGGGGTTAAGGCAAGGCAAAAACATCACTTTTGATTTTATATTCTGCCGCTATAGTATTTATTATCTGCCCAGTTAATTTGATTTGTAGATGGTATTGTGTAAAGAGGAAGGTACAATTCAAGTATGAACGTAATTTGGTTTGAATAGCTTGACTTGGCTTATAAATCAATAGCTAAAGCTTAAACCATAATAAGTTATAGCTAAACCATTACCTAAGTAGAGATGCGATCCGTTATCCGTTTTCATATTTAAAATTTAACGGATATCCGGATTCTTCATAATAAATATTAACCTAGCGGATATCCGGATCGCATCTCTAGACCTAAGCCAGATAAACTATGATTTAAGCTATGTTTCTAGCCATGGTTAAGCTATTTAAACTTAGTTTATGATATGACTTAAATTATAGCTTAAGCCAGCTTAAAATACTGCTTAAATCTAGGATTGTTATGTTAATAGAGTTGCTTCGGTTAATAATAAAACATATAACTCACTCCGAAGCACTCCAGAAGCGGGCTATATGTTTTATTATAATCTGAAGTACTTTATTAACAACACTACTTAAATCATAGTTTAAACTATATTTTAAGCTTAGCTAAAACTATAGCTTGAATTGTTTGAGATTAGGATTGTAAATAGGGTTGAAATTTTACCAAAATTGTCGTAATTTTATATAAGTTTGTAATTTTGATCAAGTAAATAATTTTGGTCAAAACGTTTACAAAGTCTATATAATATAAAAAATAATATAAAATTACAATTCTGAACATAATGATAATTAAATATTTATTAATACTAGTAAATTTTTGTTATATAACAATGTATTATTAATAAAAAATATATATTTTTTGGTATTAAGGTTACATTTTTGATCTTTTGATTTATTAATACTTTTTGAGTAACAGTGAACAGTGTTTATATAGTATTATTACAAAATGAAAATATAACTAGTTATATTTTTTTATTTTTATTTTTATTTTTTTTTAGTATTAAGGTGACCTCTTTGGTCCGAGTTTTTTATTAATACTTATAGCAGGTACATGTTTTATATAAACATATTTATAATAAACTATTAGACAAGTGTACAACTGGTTACATATATAACTTTTCTATATTACCTATTTAAGGAGTCTGTCCGAGGGTTTTCCACCAGTTGTCATACCCAACACTTCTGCTTAGATGTTTCATTTAAACCCTCTGATTTAATTCTAGTATTAATTTCATTAGGTTACCAATCCAGATCTATTCGCATTTGACTATAGGACTATAATCCTTAGACTATTTTTATTCTTGAAATAAACCTACCAAAGCGACTCGTATTCTTTTTTACCGCTAACCTGATTTGATGTTATGGTCAAAACTAACACTTGCAGTCAGGATTATCTCTTAAACTACTATTACCCTTGTAAAGTTTATTCAAACTCTGGTACTTATCTTTTTGACTTCTTCTTTATCATTCCCTACTAGTCACAACTTAGAACTAACTGACTTCCCAGACTCCTAATACAGATGGCTCGGTATGGTATACTTATATATTCTTTTTCTTTCAGTGATTTTGGCAGCCTGGTTGGTCATGTGTTCCTCTATATATCTTTGTCATCCAGTTTATCTGACAGTTCCTATAAAGGTGTTTCATGGGTTTCCATTAGTCCAATGGCATCATTAAAAGTTTGTGCTATCTCTTTACTCAGGATTTCCAAATGAGTTTCTGTTTCTTCAGTTTCTTAGCCTTCTATACTTGGTGGTCTTATTATGGGTTTGCACCAAAGCCTTATATAACATCAGTTTTTCATATTCCTCTATATATATGTATTGTGTAATATTACATTTCACATAAATGCTCTGAGCTTCCAATATCAGATGGGACCTGACTTGGTGTATCTAAGATTACAGATATCCAAAACTCAACCAATTGACAAGAGACAGTTACCATAACACAGGTATAATTTCCAAAATTCATCATCTATGGGAATTGAACCTTAGACCTACCACTTAAGGATTAACAACCTATCTATTTTACTAGGTCACTACACCCTTTATATAACTAGTTATATATATAATTTTTTTATATATTTATTTAAGAAATTCATCTAAAGATTTTTTACTAATTATTATATTAAGGGTAAAGTACAATGTAGATTATTTCTATATATAATTAGTTGTAAAAAAAATTTTATATGGTAACTACAAAATATATTACTAATAAAACTTTTTTATTTTTTAATTAATTAATAAAAAAATTTTATAATATTTTTTTTTTTTTTTTTTTAATTAAAGTCTCTATCTTGAGAGTTATGATGTTTTTATTCAAGTATATTAGAACACAGCATGCCACTAAGGGCTCACCTTATATTAGAGGTTACAACTAGCCACATGTGTACTTTTGATGCTTAATTTAAATAGTCTACTTACACATTACTATATAAGTTCTACACTAGTTACTATACTTGCAAGCCATCTAAAAGTCTTGTCTATTTAAACTCTCTGCATATGCAGTCCTTCTTGTATCATGAGAACATTTCAAGGCACCACACATCCAAGTTCTCGATGCTTATCGGTATTCTTAGGACTACTTTATTCTCAATAGAAAACTTACTAGAGCCTTTATGTCCTACACATATAGACCTAGTTTTATGCAACATGCTATAGTTACCTAACAC